GCTACCATAGTACATTGATCTACCATTCTGTTTCCTTTGGCTAATGGTCCTGGCATAGTGGTGTGTGATTGTGATTGATAAAATAAGCATTACTTTGTCGATTTAATAATGTCCATGGGTGTCACAGGCAGGCCGTTAGCAGGGAGTTGGAAACTTCTCGGAGTATAGCCCTCTCCAGGAGCTTTACTATGCCTGCAACATATAGAGAGTCAGTCACAATGTTAAGAGTTATCATTGCAAATTTTTGAAACACCATGATTACAGCTACCGGCTCCACCACCTGTGTCAAACCTGGTACCTCCATTTGCACCTCTCTCTGCCATTTCTTATTCGTCGAGGTTTTCCAGGCAATAGCTGCCTTGTTAGTTCGCCCAGATCCACCTGTAAAGACAATAACACCTGAGATGGGGGTCTGTTGCCAAAGTGATCTTGACAGTAAGGGAATGTTTGGAAGCTCAGATCACATCCTGTGTGGAGGATAGTGAATGTTTATCTGTCCTGCAAAATCTGCTAAAGCTACTTGCACAGGCAGATGTTCAGCTAATAGCCACTGCAGGTTCTCCTTTGTCACAGGGAGGTAAATGGCTCTTGGGCTGCTACCGTTCAGCGTTCGAAGGCGGGCTCTCCTCTTTGGATTAAATGCGCATACTGCTCTGCTGTGGTGATAATTGCTTTTGATTGCCCATGAGGCAAAAAGATCCATTCCAGTACTCGAAGCAGATCTGCCATGGATACATCCCATTGCATCAAGGCAGCAAACAGTTGGTAACTGTTAGGTATAATAACAAAGTCAATTTCTAATTCTTTGATTCTATAACTTTGTCTTTTCTCAGTTGCATGTGCTACCTCTGCTAAGGCCTGCTGACTTTCCTTCCTCAGTTGCCGTGGAGGCTTTAAATCCAGATCCCCTTGAAACTGCAAGAAGAAGGGCCATAATTCCTCATTTGTGAGGCCAATCATTGGTTGAATCCAATTTATGGCTCCTAACAGCCTATGTAAATCATTGTGCGTTCTTATTGGGCCAGTTCCAGTTTTTACTCGCTGAGGTTGAATTTCACCATCTGTTATCCTCCATCCTGAATAACCCCAGGGGCTTACTTGCTGTACTTTTTCTTTTGCAGTTTGCAATCCAGCTACAGTTACTGCAGACTGTATTTGTTCAGAAACTTGCTCGACTGCTTTCAGTGATGATCCACTAATTAAAATGTCATCCACATAATGATAGATGAAAATGTCTGGATTTCTCTGCCTAATCAGCTGCAACATTCCTTCCACTGTCATCTGACCAACAGTGGGACTATTAACCATCCCTTGCAGCAATACAGTCCAATGATACCTGCACATGAGCTCACAAGGGTTAAGAGAGGGCACAGAAAATGTGAATCGAGGGGCATCCTGGGGATGTAACGGTATAGGAAAGAAACAGTCCTTCAGGTCTATGACAGTCAAAGGTCATCCTGCTGGCAACATAGCCAGTGAGGGTAATCCAGGTTGTAAGGCGCCCATAGGTCTATAACTGCAGTAACCACCCATAAGTAGCATTCTCCATTTACCATTTTTCTTTGGAATAACAAAAATGGGAGTTGTAACATAAATGTCCTGCTGCTAATTGCTCTTCCACCAGCAGCTGTAGCTGATGCAGCTGCCCTTTATGCAGGGGCATGGGTTGACCCATACTGGTGTGTCTGTATGCCAGGTGAGCTGGATAAGCTGCTCCTGGCCTAGCGGCCTGCCAGTGGCCCCTCATGAAAAACTGTTGAGCCCTATTTGGGTGAACCTACACATAAGGTTGTGCCAAGCTGTCCTAACAAATCGTGGCCCCAGAGAGTACAAGGTACAGGCAATACAAAGGGTGCTATGAGACCTATAGTGCCATCTGGACCCAGTACGGTTAGCAAATGTGTACTTTGCCAGGGCTGTCGCATGCCTCCGACTCCCATAATGGTAGCTGCTGGCTCTTTAGTCGGCCAGTGGGGTGGCCAGTCACTTGTTTGCACAATGGAAACTATCTACAAGCCCTCTAAATTTAATCCCTTTAATGGTGCATGTCAACAGTGGCTTTTGTTGCACAATTTGCTGAGCTCAGAAAATCTGTGGTTCTCCTGTACTCCCAAAACCCTGCGATCCCCTTTTTCGCTCTGGCCCTTGCATTGAAGGGCTCAGAAAGTGGACTGAGTAATTGGTTTTCCCACAGGGATATAGCATAGGGGCATGGGAATCCAAGCCATAATTTGGATTTCCCCCATGTAATCAGCATCAGTAACTCCAGGTAGCACAAACGGTCCCATCCTTATTGTAGAGGAGCGTCCCCATGGGTCCAAGCACCCCAGAGGTAATTAACGTTACCCGAGTACTGCTCCAAGTTACATCTCGGGAGGTGGCCACGCGCAGGCCTGCGCTCCCTCTTGTGGCTGCCCGCAGTGTACTGGCCAAGCGCTTGCTTGCTCCCTGCCTGCGTTTCTGTGAGTTGTTGGGGCGCGCAGCCTCATCCTCCGACAGTTTCCCGACAGTGGCCTCAGGGGCTGACCATTGGTGTGAAGCTTAGCCCGGCATTCGTTAGCGCAGTGAGGGCCTTTCTGACAGTGCGGGCATAACCAGGTTGGGGCTGGCTTACCCCCTGACCCTCTGGGACAACTTTTCTTAAGTTGTTCCTCTCCACATGTGGAGAGTTCCTCTCCACATTTGAAGCACTCCCAACTTCCCCATTTGGATTTGAGACCTGGCTTTGCATCATTAGATGCGTGGCAAGGGCCATAGCCAGTGCGTTGGCACAGTTCTCTGCAGTACCGATGTTCTGACAGGCTCTAATCATGTTAGCAGTAGAAGGATCTCGAGGTTTCAGGGGCTTCAATGCCCTTTAGCAATCTGAATTTGCATTATCGTAGGCAATTTGTTTCAGTAGTATTTCTTGAGCATCTGGATGCAGAACTTGCCGTTCCAAGGCCCCTTGCAGATGATCCAGAAATGCCAAGTAATCCTCTGTGGGGCCCTGAGTGATCGCTGTGAATGACTGGGTGGTCTCCAGCCCAGCATCTGGTACACATCACAACGCATGCAAAGCCAAGTCCCTAATCTGCGCGTATGCTGGTCACTGATAACCACCCTGCATTTGCAGGGCAGCATGAGGGCCTTCCCCAGCTAACATCTGATACTAAATCGGCATACTCTGCGAGATATTGTCCATAGCTTGTAATGTGGACGTTTCCTTAAACTTGTCCAACCATAGGAGTTAGAACCATGGCAATATTAACTTCCAGTCACACGAGGTTAACATATAACTGTCTGCTATATATTCTAACAAAGTCATAGTCACAGTTGGTAATAGTCCGCTCTCCTTGGCCACTTTCTGCAACTCGTTTACAGGCTCATATGGCAGTGGCTCCCACTGCAGCAGGGCGTTCAGTTGGTGCACAACTGGCACGCCCGATAACATCTCTAAATCCGCCTGCCGAACTGCCTCTCTCTTAAACGTTTCCCAACGATACGACCCTTCATTCCCTCTTATGTCCCTGTGATCCAAGTCTGCCGGATACAGATGAGGTTCCTTCTCCCGGTCGACATGGCCAGGGTCAAACAGATCAGCGCTCGGGGGGTCAGCCACCCCTCATATGGTAGTGCTGATGGTGATGGTGTTTCTTTCTGGTCAGTCTTGTCTTATTCGGAGGGGCCCGTGTGACCTTCGGGATAAACATAATCTGCCACCAGGTGGTCACATGTTTTACTGCGGCTGCATCACCATCTGCCATCACCTCCCTAAGGTGCCTTCCGAGGTCTTCCCACACCTCTCGCTGGAATGTGCCTTCTTTTGGAAAGGTAGGCACCTTCTCCTGGATCCACTCTAACAGAGTTACTAAGTCTTTGCTGGAGACTTCCCGGTTCTGCTTGTGCATCATGCGCTGCAGCACGTCCAGGCTGTGCTTCTGCTCTTGAGACATTCCACCTCCCATGGTTCCCAGCCGCTCACCTGTAATTAGGTGCTGGGTGCACACCAGAGTTCTTCCTGCTCCGTTCCTGGTTCGGCTGGGCTGCGTTGCTGGGTTCAGACTTTGTGAGCCTCCTCAATGTTCGTGTCCCTGTTCGGGCGCCATTTGCAGCGTATGAGGAAACGGACTTTGGTATATAATGTACCAAAGACCCTTTATTGAGCATCAGATACAACTTACATACTGTACTGTCCCAGATATTATTCCTTATTTTCATGAAAACATGCGAAGGATGGTTGCTAAATAAGCCAATAATCTGAATAATTCTGTGCAAAATTATCCAGTCCGCTTCGGGATCACGTGCCAGCCGTGCGGTTGCGGTTCTGCCCTTTTCCTGGCTTTGTTCCTTATCCACTGCTAAGACACCTGCACTGTTGTCCTTGAGGTTGGTCATCTGCTAACAAGGCATCCTGTACTGCTGTCCTTGAGGCGGGCCTCCACAAATTAGTAGGTTCATTGCTACAGTGATTTTAATATTTTGACCTCAGAGATATTCTAATGAGTTAACAGATCAGATCATACTGTTTGCATTAGCCGAAGGGTCTGTATATACACAAATTGACAGTGGTATTTGATCAAAGCCCTGGCTAGTAAGTCAAGGATGTTCAGGAAAGTAAGCAAACGTGAAAAGATACCTCTGGCCTGCTCTTCAAATTGGTTTGATGGGAAGATATTTCCCCCACTGTTTTCCCACCCCATTTAAGTAGTCTGTGTCCTTGAGTTTGCAGAAAAGAGAGGTACCTTAGTGGTAGTAGGTTCAGGAAGTTCAAATGATGTGTGCTCTCCTAAAAAAGACTGGAGGAAAAGCTGCGTTCAGGCTGCAGTCAATCTAGCCAATACAGATTAGTTGAATGTGAAACTTTGTTCTGTCTTCCAAAACAGATGACCTGGAAAAAGTTGCTCTTGAGTTACATGTCCTGAAAGTATTGATCCTTAAGGCTGAGTATGCCTTGAATTTTAATGTGCCTCTCCTTTAATCTGCCCCTCTAGCTGGAATGCTGGCTGCTTTCTCGTCGGGATTATAAGCTTTGATATTCAGAAGAGTGAAACTGAAAGATGCCATCTGAGAGGCGTCTCAGGTACGGTACACTATAGCATGCAGAATGCCCTTCACACTGAGCATGATGTTTACCACAGCATCTGATAGCAGGTACTAAAAAGGTGACACTAGTAATTTTGTTCCTTAGATATTCATATTGGATAGCACATTTACATACTATAGCCTCCAAGAGTTTGCTTTCTTTTTGCCATTCATCTTCAGCAAAGGGAAGTGATTGATTTGGGTCTCCTGAGCCTTTCATACGTTGTTTTGTTTATGCCTGTGTCTATACTTGGAATTTTTGATGGTGGAAGCAATTGGCATTTTACAGGCATGCAGCCAGAGCCTAGATTTCGGATGTGCGGATCATTCCAGTATTCAGGACACAGAGTATTCTTTCCC